GCCAAATCGGGGAGAGTTGTCAGAATGAGATTTAAAAAAGGTACCGAAAACAACAGTGAGGGCTCCACCATAAAGTTTTTATTGATGTGTCTGTAAAATACTTTCTTCTTCAGTTTCACACTCCTTCCTAATTTCATTTCATAATGGACACGTTAAAAATGTGCAAATCAGTGAGGATTAGTCAGTACATTCTTGTTGGAGATGTTCATCAGTGGAGCCTTTTAGACATTGAATTGTAGATCTGCCACCAAATGTCAATTTGCAATTGAAGCTTGGAATTTTACTGTGAACAAGTTTTCGAGATTTCTTGAATCAAGCGGAAAGATTTCTGATTGAGCCTTAAAATGGGACACTGCAGCCCCTCAAATCAGCACCGTTATCCAAAATATTAAACTCCAACCACTTAGAGGGCTGTTAATGTCATCAGAAACAAACCAAATATTTTCACAGGATTTTTCCTGTATGTGATTAACATGGGCAATAGCATCAGAATCAAAACCCTACCTTCACTTACGAACTCGCCGATATATCTGCAGGAATCACAACTTAGTGAATCCGTCCCTACATACAGAACAGGGGAACAGCTTCTCCCAGTTTGAATGTGTTATTGTGCAGAAGGGATCTGAAGGGGTCCTGCACCCAAAACGTTCACTATGTTTCTCTCTTCACAGATGCTGCCAGACCCGCTGAGTTCTCCAGCAATTTTTATTTTTGATTTGGATAACTGCCTGTCTGAAACTCTTTCAAGGTGAGAGCGGTTCGTTTGGTTCTCCTTAGAGTGAACTTGGTGGTGTGGCAGGAGAACAAACAACTGAGTGAATCCCTTCCCCCAAATAGGGAAGATGAACAGTCTGTCCACTGTATGAACCAACTGGTGTCCAACCAGATCGATTGATTAAGTCAATCCTTTCCTAGACACGGGGCAGCGAACAGTCTCTCCCCTGTGTGAACTTGCTGGGGTGCAGTGACTGTGGATGAGATGCTGAATTTCTTCCCACAGTAAATGCAATTAAAAGGCCTCTCCTCAGTGTGAACTCTCTGGTGTGACATCAGGGAGATGTTGAGTAAATCTCTTCCTATATACTGAACAGATGAACGGCTACTCCACAGTGTAACTGCATCAATGGTTTCCCAGCCAATACGAAGAAGTGAATCCTTTACCTCAGTGCTCACATTTCCATGGTTTCTCCATGGTGCCAGTGTTTCTGTGTCAGGTTGGATAACCATTGACATCCCCCCACACAACATGTGTACTGTGTTTCCCGCTGTGAGTGGTGAGATGATTTTTTTCAAGCTGTGTAACTGGTTAAAGCTCTTTCCACAGTCAGTGCTACCCTGGAACCCTCTAACTCAGATAATCACTGAGACACACACAACCTCTGATACTTGACCTGTTCTTAGACAGACAGAACAAACGTTTCTCTTTCCACATTCAAAGACCAGTCCTGATGGATCAAGTGGTTCCGTTAATGTTTGACTCAAGATTTGATTGAATTTCCAAACTGTGAACACTCCGTTCCTAATAGCCTGCAAAGGAGTTTACTCAAGTCAATATTCTCAGTTAAGGATGGAAATTTAGAAGAGACAATTTCCGTTTTTCTTGAAACATTTTTCCTCCCTTGTTCTCGAAAAGCTGTAAATCCCAGTCCTACACAGTCTCCCTTACAGACAAGGAGAGACACAGACAATTATGAGGTTTTGTAGCTGAGTTTCTGTGTGCATTACTAATGCAGCATCTTTAGTACAGAGCAATTCTCTGACTAAAAATGAGCTGTATTTTGGCTTTGTTTTCAGTCTGGACCAATTGCTGACCTTGCTGTCTGACCTCGTGTACAGACAAACTCCTTTCATATCTGCAGGGGTTACCAGGGATAAGAAAATAGAGAAGAAAGTACCAAACCAAGTGAAGGATTATATACAGTCGTCTTTCACACAATTCTTAACTCTGAAACTGTCGGGTTTGGTGCATCAGACTCCACAACATATGACAAAATGACAAGGTCAGACTGAAAAATTGCTTGGTCAAAGCATTTGTTGTAATCCCTTCTGCAACCTTGGCTTTTGTGAATGTGACAGCTTTTGTGTTAAAAATGTCGTGAAGCAAGAAAGTAAAAACAACAGAATCTAACACCTGCGGCCCTTCTTTTAGAATTATTTCATGGTGTAAGGAAGTCGCTGGGTGAGCCAGCATTTATTGTCCATCCCTCATTGCTGTTGAGAAGATGGTGGTAAACTGTCTTCTTGAATTGCTGCTGTCCATGGGGCACGGGGGTTCACTTATGAATTCGCTCGTGTGTCTTTAGGTTGATGGATTGAGTGAATCCCTTCCCACACACGGAGCAGGTGAATGGTCTCTCCCTAGAGTGAACTCGCTGGTGTACAATGAGGGTGGATTTCCGCCTGAAATCCTTCCCACAGGAAATGCAGCTGAAAGGCTTCTCTCCAGTGTGAACTCACTGGTGTGTTAACAGGTTGATCTTCTGAGCAAACCCCTTGCCACACTCTGAGCAGGTGAACGGTTTCTCTCCACTGTGAATTCGCTGGTGTATGAGCAAGCTGGCTGACCGAGTGAATCCCTGCCCACATTCAGAGCAGGTGAATGGTTTCTCCCCGCTGTGAATTCTCTGGTGTGTCAACACGTGGGCCCTCTGAGCAAACCCCTTGCCACACAAGGGGCACGTGAATGGTCTCTCTCCAGTGTGAACTCGCTGGTGGATCCGCAGTTTGGATGACTGAGTGAATCCCTTACCACACAAGGAGCAAATGAATGGCCTCTCCCTGGTGTGAGTGAATTGGTGCACAATGAGAACAGAAGAATGTCTGAACCTCTTACCACAGGAGGTGCAGCTGAATGGTTTCTGCTCAGTGTGAATTCGCTGGTGTGATTGAAGGCCAGATGAACGAGTGAATCTCTTCCCACACACAGAGCAGATGAACGGCTTCTCCCCAGTGTGAACTCGCTGGTGTTTATTCAGTTCAGATGAAGATCTGAACCTCTTTGTACAATAGGTGCAGCTAAATGGCCTCTCCTCAGTATGAATTCGCTGGTGTGCCACAAGTTTGTTTGACTCAATAAATCCTTTCCCACACATGGAGCAGGTGAATGGCTTCTCCCCAGTGTGAATGCGTCGATGGATTTCCAGCCGGGATGGATATTTGAAGCCCTTCCCACAGTCCCCACATTTCCACAATTTCTCCATGGTGTAGGTAGATTTGTATCTCTGGGTGAATGATCAGTTGGAACCTTGCCCATGCATAGACTGCACCTACAGTCTCTCCCTGCTCAAATGGTGATTTTTTTTTTAACTGGGTGAATGGTTGAAGTTCCTTTCAAAGTCTGTGCATTGGAACACTCACTTCTGATGTGTTTGTCTCGGTGCTGATATTTGTATTCTTTTCCCCAAGAGACAGAACAAATGTTTCTCCTTCAATATTCAAAGGCTGGCCATATTCAGATCATGACGAATTGAGTGATTCTGTTGAACCTTGACAGGACGTTTTGGTAAGTTTTCATATCTCTGCAGTTCCTTCCCCTGGAAAACCAGATGACAAGGTCAGTTAAACGACAGAAGCTGAAAACAGACAATTCCACTTTCTATGGAGCACATTTTCCTCTCTTGTTTCTCCAGAGACTGTTGGTGAATCCACTCCACCCACTTTCCAGAGTTTTCTCCCTTAACAGAAATCAGATCCTCATTGAAACAAGGGCAGGATTTATTCAACTAAAGATAGGGAAATGGCTAACGCTGTAGCACAGAGAGACCCGGGGGTTCAGGTGCATAATTCTTTGAAATTGCATCATATGTACACAGGATGGTTAAGAAGGCATTCAGCTTGCTTGCCTTCATTGCTTAGGCCTTTGAGTTTAGGATTTCGGACATCATGTTTAGGTTATACAGAATGTTCGTGAGTCATCTTGTGGAGTTCTGTGTGGAGTTCTGGCTGCCCTAATATACAAAGGATATTGTTAATTTGTATGGGCTTCAGAAAAGATTTACCAGGATGTTATGAGAATGTAGGGTTTGCGTTATAAAAATAGGCTGAGACTTTTTTCACTGAAGCGGCAGAGGTTGGGGGGTTGACTTTATTGAGGTTTCTAAAATCATGAGGCGAATAGATAAGGTGAATAGCAAGGATCTTTTCCCTCAGATGGAGAAATTCAAAACTAGAGGGCATATTTTAAGGTGAGAAGAGAAAGTTTTAAAATGGACCTGAGTGGAAACTTTTTCCCCCCACAGAGGATGGTTCGTGTGTGGAATGAACTGCCAGAGGAAGCGGTGGATGCAGGTGCAGGTACAGTTACAACATTTAAAAGACATTTGGATTACTACATGAATAGGAAGAGTTTGGAGGGCTATGGACGACACACAGGCAAGTGGGACTAATTTAGTTTGGGAACTTGGTTAGCGGCCAAATGCTGACAAATGGAATTAAGATTAATTTAGGTATCTGGTCTGCATGGACGAGTTGGACCGAAGGGTCTGTTTCCCTGCTGTATGACTCTATAACTCAAGATTCTCCCCATAGTGGAATTATTATTTTTTCTTACTCCTCTCATATCCCCAGTTGTAAACCATCCTTCACATGCTGCCGGAGGATCTGACCTGTTGCGTTTACCACTTACAAGTCATGTTCAATAAATAGTCTCCAAAAAGAAATTTAATAGAAAGAAACTGTAAATTCAGGACAGAAATTGGGAAGAAACAAACAGTTATCAAACAGGTTTGAATTTATTGTTTACATATCCTCCTTTTCCAGCCCCACGTGAAAGTAAAGCTACGCATGCGCCCTGCTGTAGATTGCCCCCCCCAGTAAAGATGGCAGCCCTCAATCCGGGCACTGCCCCGCTTTAGGCCTTTTCCTGGTCTGCTTCAAACCATGGCCTCAAGCCTCCCATTCCGATCAGAAGGATTTCCCACAGTTTATAAAACTTTTCAATCCACTCTAGGTCTGATACACTTAGCTTATTCTCACCTTGTACCGGCTCTGCCCTCCCACAGCCCGAAACCTCAGCTACAACGACACTGCTTCTCCGCACGGAAACACCGACGTGGCCGGTTGTCACGTGCGCGGCGTTCGTTCACTCTGATTGGCTGGAGGACCAGCTGCGCACACTTGGTCCTCCAGGCCCGCCCCCTGTTCCTATTGGTCAGGCTTCGTCTTTATTCCCATTCTGAAGCAGGAGCGGGCGGTAATTCGAACTCGGATCCGGAGTCGCAAATCAAACCAGGCACGAGATTCCCGGCACCTACTCCAGTTGTGATTTCTGCTTCCCTCGATATCTGTAAGAGTCATCCACTTAAGCCATAGATGAGGAATTTGGTCTCTCAGACGGCACTGAATCTGTGGAGTGCATTCCTGCAGAGGGCTAAATATCACCATCATAAATCGGAACAGGGTGAGGCTGTTCAGCCCCTTGAGCATGCTCTTCCATTCGATAGGATCATGGCTGATCGGACGTTCCTCACCTCCACTTTCCTGCCTTTTCTCCGTAATCCTCGATTCCCCGACTGATCAAGAATCCATCCAACTCAGCGTTAAATATCCACAAGGACTCTGCCCTCACAGCTCTCTTTGCAAGAAGTTCCAAAGACTCTCTACCATCAGAGAGAAGAAATTCCTCTTCATCTCATCTCAGCCTTAAACAGGTGTCCCTTTATTCTGAGACTCTGCTTTCTCATCATAGGCTTGCCCATGAGGGGAAACACCCTTTCAGCATTTACCCTGTCAAGTTTCTTAAGAATCTTATATATTTAACTGAGATCGCCATCCAAGGTGAGATAGATATTTTTAATAAGTTGGATAAAAGGTAAAATTCAGAGGAGCTTCTAAATCTGAATCAAACGCAGAACACTGTCAAAACTCAGCAGGCCTGGCAGCATCTGTGGAGAGAAAAACAGAGCCAAAGCAAAGAGACCAGTACAACTTCTTCAGAACTGATAAATAAGGGAATCAAAGGTTATGGGGAAAAGGCATGCAAATAGAGTTGAGGATTATCAGATCAGCTATGTTCTCAGTGGATGGAAGTAAAATTGATGGACTGAATGATCTCTTTCTGCACCCACATTTCACGCTGTGTCCCTTTCTTTCTGGCACTCACTCATTCTGCATGTACTCCAGAAATTTGTCAGCGCTGTGTCCATCATCCACACTGCACTTACTGTGGCAACAACAATGTGGGCACTGGAAGTGTGATCATAGTCATGTGGTTAAGGTGATGGAAATGACATAAATCCCATGGAAATTTGACTATTTGCATCGTAAGAGGACAGACAGGGCCCTCAGATTAACACATGAACACAATGCCAGTATTTTAACCTGATTTCAAGTCTTAGGGAATTTAATATTTTCAGAGACTTTTTACCAACATGTGTTTGGCTGGTCTGATGTAGAAAACAAACCGTTATTTTCAGTACTAATAGATTATCTTTGAAAATAGACATATAGTGCAGCTAAAATCCTTTGAGAAATATCAACAATGGTGCCTCTGCAAATCCCCTATGATGACAGGCTCTCCAGTAAAACTTCCCTTCTCAGGCCAACATCCCCAAGGCACTGGTTATGTTCCATCAGATGCATTGGCAGGTAATATCATTCACAAGCCTGACAAAGGATTTCCAACCAAACTCTTTAACATGGGCTAGCATCATCATAGCAAGCAATATCCAGGAGGGCAGATGAAATGGTTCAAGGCCTTCTTAAAATTTTGTCAAAAAATGCAAATTCCCACCGACTCTGGAGAATCTCTCAGTCAATGCTGTCTAATTTGGAAAAAAGAATCAATGAAAAGCCAATCTTTGTGTGTCTCTGACAATCCAAGAACAATAATAAACATTAACAGAGGGAGGAGCTAATGAAAACGCTTGCATCCCACCACTCAACTCAGCAAATACTACTTGCCCCAGCAATGTCAGGATTGTGGATCCACCTACTGAACTGTTGAATCACTTCAGGACCCACAACACTGGAATGGAAGAAAGTCTTCCTTGATACCAGTGACTGTTCAAGAGAAAGATAGGGTTTTACAAAATGCATCATTGTAAGTGCAGGATAGACATTCAGAACAAATTGTTCTCGAAGCTGTAAATATACTTTTCAGCCAAGAAGTATATATCACTACATCCCACAAACTCCATCCTTATCAAAATTTGGAATGTCAATTCCTCTGACTATCCTCCTGATTGTGCCCAAGATCTCCTACAGTGCAGATGCAGATTTTTGGGTTCAGCTTCACAGTCATTTACTATAAGAACTGGGAGCAGGAGAAGGCAATTCAGCCCCTCAAACCAACTCCACCATTTAATAAAATGATGTCCGATCTCAACTCATCTTCAACTGAACTTCCTTGCCTGCTCTCTATAACCCTTCAATCCATTACTAATTAAAAATCTGTATCTCTTCATTAAATATAACTTGATATATTTATTCTTATGTGTATTTTGTTACAAAATACGGCAATAAAGTATTGTATAGTGTTGCTACTCTCCAGTGCTATCCTAAAACAGAATATAAATGCAGAAAAATAAAGAAATAAAGAAAAAGTGTTCAACTTCACAGTCTTTCTTGTTAGGTGCTCTGCCAACCCCTTCAACGCATCGCCACCACTGGACCAAAAGTTGCCATTCTTTTGGTGCCACCTCCATTGACCCATCACCACTATTTGTCCTTGCTGCACCTCACCAAGGCAGCCACAACCAATGCCGCTGGGTCTCATACTGGGCCCAAACTCACCTCGGCCACCTCCTCCATGATCCTGTGCTGAACACAGACACCACAGGGAACCCAAACTTGCCTCCACTGCAACAGCTACGGTACAGCGCTAGGTTCGGCCTCATTGATGCAGAAGCCACAAGGAACAAAATCTCAAGTCAACTGCCACCACCACAAGTCTGTGCTGAGTCCACTTGAGTTTGAGCTGGGTTCACTTGTTGCCACCTGTCCGTGACCCAGCTCTTCAATAACAGGTAAGTAAAATAAGAGAAAAGAAACAAGAAAGGAGAAAGAAAAGGAAATGAAAAGAAATGCCAATAGAGCAGACGAGAAGACCTACACCACCACGTCTCAATGTACTGGCATCCACCACATATTGGATATGTGAATTATGCAGATTCACAAACATTTGAGGTAAGTATATTTCTCCTCATCTCCGTTTTAAATCTGACACCGCACATTCCTCTACTCCCTCACAAATGGCTACATCTATATTCCTTATGTCAGAATTCTTGTTGCCTAAAGGGATGTCTCAGCAAAACCCAACGATGCCCCACACACACACAGCGTGTCTGAATGGGCATCTTATTCCCACAGCCCTCCGCCCTGCACTTTTCATCCACTTCCTGGAGACATGGTTCCAGTGGCTTCCTGGGGGACTACAACTCCCACAATCCCTGATGCTGGTACCACCCTGACCGAGAATTGCGTATGCGCTGTTGGGCGAGAACCAGAGAACATGCTGCGCCAGAATGCATTCGATTGGCTGAAGATCAAAGGTATACTCTTTTTCTATTGGTCGGTCCTAGGGGTCATCGTGTCACCATGTCCAGTGAATCTGGATTCCCCAGTCGTCATAATGCTGGGCATAGACGAATGGGAAACAATGGAGGACCAAAAACATTCCCCAAGACTGAAACCTCCTCTTCTGTCCAGAATCTGAAAGCAAAAAAATCCTTTCTTTTATCTTCCTGTTTCATTTTTTTACCATTCTGCTGTTAAAATGTTAGTCTTACTTCTGCGGTGGGCAAATTATTGGAGAGGATTCTGACAGATAGTATTTATGATCATTTGGAAAAGCACAGTTTGATTAGAAACGGTCAGCATGGCTTTGTGAGGGGCAGGTCATGCCTCTCAAGCCCTGTTGAATTATTTGAAGAAGTGACAAAACACATTGATAAAGGCAGAACAGTGGATGTGGTGTATATGGATTTTAGCAAGGCATTCAATAAGGTTCCACATGGTAGGGTCATTCAGAAAGTAAGGAGGCACGGGATTCAGGGAAATTTGGCAGTCTGAATACAAAACTGGCTGTCCAATAGAAGACAGAGGATGGTAGTAGTTGGAAAGTATTCAGCCTTTAGCTGGGTGACCAGTGGCGTTCCGCAGGGATCTGTTCTGGGACCTCTGCTCTTTGTGATCTTTATAGATGACTTGGATGAGGAAGTGGAAAGGTGGGTAAGTAATTTTGCCAATGACACGAAGGTTGGTGGAGTTGTGGACAGCGTGGAGCGCTGTTGTAGGTTGCAACAGGACATTGACAGGATGCAGAGCTGGGCAAAGAAGTGGCAGATGGAATTCAACCCAGAAAAGTGTGAGGTGATTCATTTTGGAAGGTCGAATTTGAATGCAGAATACAGGGTTAATGGCAGGTTTCTCGCAGTGTGGAGGAACAGAGGGATCTTGGGGTCCATGTCCATAGATCCCTCAAAGTTGCTACCCAAGTTGATAAGGTTGTAAAGAAGGCATATGGTGTATTGGCTTTCATTGGCAGGGGAATTGAGTTTAAGAGCCGTGAGGTTATGCTGCAGCTCTATAAAACTCTGGTTAGACCACACCTAAAATATTGTGTTCAGTTCTGGTCACTTCATTACAGGAAAGATGTGGAAGCTTTAGAGAGGGTGCAGATTACCAGGATGCTGCCTGGACTGGAGGGCAGGTCATATGAGGAAAGGTTGAGGGAACAAGGGCATTTTTCATTGGAGCGAAGAAGGATGAAAGGTGATTTGATAAAGGTGTACAAGATGATGAGAGGCATAGATAGAGTGGATAGTCAGAGACATTTTCCCAAGGTGGAAATGACTGTTACATGGGGACATAATTTTAAGGTTATTGGAGGAAGGTATAGGGGTGATGTCAGAGGTAGGTTCTTTACACAGAGCGTGGTCAGCGTGTGGAATGTGCTGCAGGCAGTCGCAGTGGAGTCAGATACTTAGACTTTTAAATGACTCTTGGATAGGCAGATGGAGGATAGTAAAATGCAGTGTATGCAGGGTAGATTGACCTTAGTAGGATAATAGGTTGGCACAACATCATGGGCCGAAGGGTCTGTACTGTGCTGTACTGTTCTATGCTCTATGTTTTGTGTTCTTAAATTTTTGACTTGTAGGAACTGAAGGGAAAGGAAGTGAATCCAGGAAGAGTAGTAGGGTAATACCTGAAACATTGACTGTTCCTTTCCTCCAGATGCTGCATAGCTTACTATGTTCTTCCAATCTCATATTTGTCTACAGTAGTAAGTATGGATCTGTTTATCAGTACTTTCAGGAGAATGGGGAAAGTCTTCATCAGGGA